CCAAAGTAGCAAAGAAAGATGAGATTGTAGCCAACTGTCCTCTGATGCCTTCCCACCCACTGGGGATGTGGGGCAGGTAAGGAGTGGGGAAAAGAAACCAGGGGGATAAGTAAAATGAATGTATCTCCTGCCTTCTAGCTTCATTCCCCAAATATTTCCACTGTCGTACTCCTGCAGGGAACTGTGAAGGTGTTTGTATCCCTGGAAGTCTGGAAGGAGTGGCCTAAATCAGTCTTCAACCTGCTGGTTTTAACCTACAAATTTATAGGATGCCTGCATTTGTACTATCCATACTGGTTTGAATACACTAATAATATAACCCTTTCTTCCCAAATTCTGGAGTGAAATTGATGCTCTGGGAACATGTACCATGTTTATTCTGTGGCTTCTCCTTCCTCAATCCTGGCTACACTGCCTGCTCCAGCCTGAAAAAAATGACTTTGGAATATCCACTCTTCTAATGTTGGGATGTTCCCAAAAGAGTGGGGTGGGGGTATTGGGTTTATATTCTGGTTCTTATCTTCCCTCTCTCATTCTGTTGGGGACCCTCTCCCTCACCTATCAAATTTAAAAAGAAAGAAAAGGAAAGAGATGTCAGGATGTTTCTTATTCCCCATGATGATGAGACTGAGGGTACCCTGGAGTATATGGCAAAAATAATGCAAGGATTTCCTTTTCTTAAAAGTCAGAGGAAGTGGCATCAAAGACCCTTTGTAAGAATATTAGTAAAATCCAAGATGGTGGTCACTTGGCTAAATAAATATAAGGGGAGCAGCCTCATGAAGTGGAAAAATCAAGGGCTTCAAAATTAGACAAAGGTTCAGATTATGGCTCTATTTAGTAGCTGTGTGACTTTGAGCATGTTACTTAACTTTCCTGGCCCTCCATTCCCTCTTCTATAAAATGGTTAAAACTGACTTAAAGTTTATGGTGAGGATTTAGTAAAGTAATATATGTAAAGCCCTTTGCACAGTATCTGGTAAATAGTAGGTATGCAATAAATGCTATTTATCTTAGTCTTCATTTGGGGAGAATCAAATTAAAAAGCCTATACCAGACCTGAACTCAGCTCTGTTACTAATTGCCTGTGTGAATGTGAGCAAATTGCCTAAACTTTCTTGCCCTTGGTTTCCTTGAGAGGAAATAAAATGAGAGGATCAGATTAGATGATCTTGAGTCCTATCCAGCTCTGAAAGTGTATTTCCAACATTTGCCTGTTGGAGGCAGTGTTGAGCATATTAGTGCTCAATGTCAGGATATTAAAGAGCAACACAGGGGCTCCCTGGGGGCTGCTAAACCAGTGATGGGAAGAAAATAATAGTCCACGCATTCTTGTCCATGCGTTCACTTACTGACAATGCATCTGGACTGAAACCCTTTCTTGTGACCTAGATGTTCTAGACCTCTTGGGTGTATGGCTTGCTTCTCAGGGAAGACGTTTGCACCACCTGACCTGAATCCATGGTGCCAATGAGTGAGTGCCAGTACCCAGGAGAGCTGGCCTCATGAGAATAATAGAGTACAATGTTTCTGAACTGGAACGTTAGCATTAGCCCGGCTTCATGGCCCAGACAATAAGGAGCTGTTTTATGAAGTTATCAGAGGGGACCAAGTGTGTCTGAGGAACAAGAGCTGTGTTATTTGGATGCACTGCAAGATCCTTATTAAGCTTGAGGAAGCAGGGAGGATTTCCCGTTTGGAGAAAATGCAACACTGTCCAAAGACCGTGAGGTTTGCCAAGGACATTTGGACAATGAAGTGCTGCAGGTGCAATGAAGTCATGTTTCAGGCAAAGGTTGACCTTAAAAAATTAAACAGAATGCTGGAGATGACAAATCAGGCTTGTGACTACTGGTGATGCAAAAGTGAGATCCAGGCAGAACTGGTTGAGCCAGCAAAAAAAGCCCTTCTGCTTCTCGTTTTCTGTGCAGTGACAGGCCTCGGTGCCTTAGTTTCTCCTCAAGTTAAGTGAGTGAGTGGCAGAAGCTCTGGTGGGAGGTTGGAAGCCAGAATGTGAGAAGTCAATGCTGCTTCCTCTCCCATGGCTGCGCCTGCCTGGTCTCTGCATTTTAGTGTGGTGCCATCTGTAGAAGACTTGTTTTGAATCTCCAGTGATCCATCAGCTTCTTCTTAATTTTATATTTTTCTTCTTCCCACCTGTTTCTCAAAGCTTGACGAATGTAGAACTGGCATAAACAAATCCAGAGTGGATACAATTAGAAAGAACCAGAGACATTTTTTCAAACTGGACCTGAGTCTACACCAATACATCATCTTTAAGCATATAGGAGTTACTTTCCCTGCTTGTTTTTGAAAGTTTTCATTTCATCTGTGAGTTCTCATCTGGACTGGTAGTGTCCAAATGCTCCAGTATTGTTGAAGAAAGCTTTATCACATATGTGTAGGATTGGGTTATGGAAGAAGCAAAGGTTTGAGGAGGCATTCAGCTAAACATCTTCAGGACTGTGATCAAAGGACTCTGTGATACAACCAGAGAGAGGCTACAGGCACAAACCCAGAGGCCAGCCTATAACTCAGCTTTCTTTAGAGGATAGACCTTCTCTGTCATGGTAACCTGGGTGAAAGCAGACCATCGGCGAAGTGAGGCAGAGCTGAGTATGCAGCTCCTGGCATCTGGGTGGGAGGCAGACTCCCAGACTTCATACATCTGCCCCACTCCTCTGAGGTCCTGAGACTCCTCCTGCAGCCGTGGCAAGTTTGAAGCAAGTGAAAACAAATTATCCCAACTTCTTTGGGATTATTGAAACTGAACTGAATTTGGAATCTTTCAGAGGTTTCCTAATAAAAATTTAAGAGTGGACAGTGAGATGCAAGTAAGGTGGAAAGTGTCCCCCAACCCCACGCCCTACCTCCTTGGAAGAAAAGACATAGAACTAAGAAATTAGATTCAATAGCATTCTGGTGATAGAAAGCAAGCAGTAGAAAACCATATATCCTGGGTATGTGGCCCCGCCTTTCCTGAAATTCTGGGTGGAGGTTACGAAAAAGAAAAAGAAAAAATGTTTTCATGTCCCAAGAGTATTTGCAAATCCAGGTCACCAGCTCGTCTATTTCAACACCCATAGCTTGGTGTATCCAGTGTTCTTGCACATTCCATCTTTTCTCCAGAGGAAAGGACAAAGAGGAACTCACAAACTCTTTCCCAACTGATGCTTTTACAAGAGCTCTTTGAAAAGATTCCACAATGACCTTTTGTCCCTTAATCTACAGCTCTGCTCTGGGACTGGATTTGAAAAGTAAAAATGTGATTAGGATTGTTTGGTTTGGCACCGAGCTCATTGGCAACCATGGTTCTTTAGGTCTGGCTTTGAAATATCAGGGTGCTGGTTGGTTCTCAGGTGGAAGGAAGTGGGGCGTTAGGAGTCTTACCACTTGATGAGTAGTAGAGGGGTAAGTTGGTAGGTGAGGGACAGGTGGATTCAAACATTTGTAGATGTTTACTTGGCATTTCCTTGCTGCCATATGCTGTTGTTGTTCTTTTACAAATCAATCCCCCATACAAATCAGCTGGCCACTTTTCCTGGGTCCTGGTTCTGCTTTCCTGAAAAACTGGAGACCTTTCTCAACCCCACTGACGTTTCACACAGGGTTTCAGGAGGTGACTGCCACCTTGTGGCCACACTTAGTAAGTCCCCGTCCACCAGTTCACTCTGGTCTCAAGGTCAGCAGTTTTCCATAGACTTGTCGTTCTTGCCACCTCTTCTACACCTGACCCCTTCACCTTGTAGAAATAACTCTGGTGAATGTGTGTTTGATATGTTGGAAACTATCTTTTTATGGTGGAGAAATGCATAAAAGGGAAACTGCCTGGACCTTGGGTCTAGACAGTGAATCTGTTGCAGTCATTGGTGGTGGTTTTGGTTTTGGGTTTAAGTACGTATCCTGATGTGTCTGCAGTCAAACAGCCTCTGAGAAGGGTCTACCTCGATTCCTTCTGAGTCCCTTGAGGGAAACTGGTGTGCTTAGGGTGGGTGCTTTGTGAGTATTGCTTACTGGATTTACCTTTGGGAAAAGCAGTTGTGCTTGGAGGAGCAGGATAAGCAGGAATCAGTAAGGAAAGTTAAGAGCATTGAGTCAAGTTGACCATAGACCTTGGGAAGAGAGTGGGGCACAGTGTCTTTTAAACATGGTGAAAACTCATGAGAAAATCACTCTACTTAATAAAAGGAATCTATAAATCCTTTTATAGAGGGTTGAATAAGCTGATCTTTGAAGTCTCTTTCTTGCTGCAAAATAAAGCTATGCAATGCCGCTGGTACTATTTGTAAAAATGTTCCATAATGTAGAATGGTTTCAATAAAAGGAAGATTTTGGTTTCCACTGATGTTTCTTGACTTTCACCTGAATTGACAACACATAATCTTTTTCCATTTCAACTTCCTTGATGAAGTGGGCTGTGCTGTCACCACCCAGATACCTGGGCTCTGTTTTTATGGACAAAAAGAGTTCAGTCTCTTACTCGGCATGATCTTTTCTGCAATATTTGTGTGTGTGTGTGTGTGTGTGTGTGTTTGTATGTTTTACTTATGACTTTTGAATCAATCTCTCTCTTTTCTTTCTCTCCCTTCCTTTTCTTTCCCTCCCTGCCTTCCTGCCTTCCTGCCTTCCTTTCTTCCTTCCTCATGAAACAGGGATTCTAGTGAATTTTCATTACCTAATTGTGCTCTCTCACCATGCCAATTTCTACTCAGGTTTTCAGATCACAGATTAGCATCATTGACTGTCAAAACTGAAAGGGAAATTAGAATTCATTCTAGTCTAATCTGTCATCTGACAGATGAAGAAGCTGCGGCCCAGAGAGGTGAAACAACCCAGCTGATGTCATGTGGCTAAGATGACAGCTGTTGGCCTGTACCTTGGCCCTCAAGTTTCCCATTCAATGTGCTTCCTACTATTCATCGTTGCCCTATCTCTAGGTAAGTCTTATGTAATTTACATGTTTGTTGAAAGGATCTGTTTCTGTTTTTTCCTCCTCCCAGTTTGTTGAAGCCCATGGTGAACTGAGAAATGGAAGTGGCGCCTAGGGTTTTCAGGGTATGCCTGTCACATCCACACCACAGCAGTGGACAAAGCCTAGGAGCCTGTGGCAAGGAAAGTGCCTTCAGTCAACGGCGGCTGACCACATCCCCATGAGGTCCGAGGCATGATGGTCGGTCCAAGGGACTGCTCATCCTGGCTCTCAAAACTTGGTAAGAGTGAGAATGTTTCCATTAGAAAATTGCCAACACTCAGGCTCATCCAGTAACTGGTTGGCAAAGGTACACACTGCCCTGGTCAGACAAACATAGGCACTACAGAAAATGGTGCTGGGCCCTGAGAAATGGGAGAGGAAAGGGAGAAGACAGCTCAGGAAACTGGGCATGGATTTGGGCAGATGTTGCAGGGATGGCTGCTGATATTTGATTTGGAGGAGAAATTGAAAGGTCATGGCTTCTAGAGCCTCTAGCTCTCTTGGCCTTAAGAATCAAATCGTGCTAGTGAAGACAGCGCATCTCATAAAATGGGAAGTAGGCCCACAGTTATCACCTATTCACCTTTGAATTTCTGGATGTATTTTCCTTTGGCTGTTGTCATTTTCCCTTCCCAAGGCAGAATAATAAAAGAAGATGGAAAGGCTTCTCATGATCTCAACTTATTAAGGAGGTCTTTCCTGTTTCCTACAGGACCAAAAAAGAAAAAAAAAAAAATTCAACCTCTTTCCAGGATTATCAGTCAGGGGATAGCTCTCTGGGCATATACCTTCTTCTTCTGACTCTTATTAAACCACCTACACTAAGGATGGCTTGGGTGAAGACAGATATGAGGCCTTCGGTTTGCAATTCATGAAAAAAAATCTGTGACAAATAGGACCAGAAATGGAGAAAACAGGGCTAGGGAATATCTGTGTTTCCCATGGAAACTATAATCTCTACGGCAGTGCCCTGATTTTGACTTCTTCAGTCCTTTCCTCAATGCCTGATCCAAAAGTGCTAAAAACTACAACCATCTCCCCCTCCTACCTTTGCAGAAAGTGACTGTCTGTCTGACCTGAGGGTGGGGGCAGTGGCTGATGACTCACAGGCACATTGCCACTGTGCCACCCAGGGCCAGGAGCAGGCAATGCCTTGGGAACCAGATTCCAAAATTCTGGTTGGGTTTGTGAGGCTCTGGGGTCTAAGATAGGATGGAATTAGGCAAAAGGCTCCGTCAGGGCCAGAAAAGGGCCACTGTTCTTGAAAGGTAACAGGACATGTGGCTGGTATAGTAGGAGTGTCAGAAGATGAGAATCTTTGGCCCATTATAAAGGACTTGGGGCCAGGTGCAGTGGCTGTAGCTTGTAATCCCAGCATTTTGGGAGGCAGAGGTGGGAGGATTGTTCGAGGCCAGGAGTTTGTGACCAACCTGGGCAACATAGCAAGACCCCATCCCTACAAAAAATAAAAGAAAAATCAGCCAGGTATGGTGGCTCATGCCTGTAGTCCCAGGTACTCAAGAGGCTGAGGTGAGAGGATCATTTAAGCTCAGGAAGTTGAGGCTGTAGTGAGCTGAGATTGCACCACTGCACTCCAGCCTGAGCAAGAGTGAGATACTGTTAAGAGAGAAAGAAGAAGGGAGGGAGGGAGGGAAGGAAGGAAGGAGGGAAGGAGGGAAGGAAGGAAGGAAGGAAGGAAGGAAGGAAGGAAGGAAGAAAGAAAGAAAGGGAAAAGAACCTGGGTTGCTGGGATGGGGTACAGTTGATCTGTTTCCTCTTAAGGGGAATTGTTGGCAAACCTCTCTTGCTGAGGCTCTTTCTTGTGGGCCAATGTGAGAACGTGGCCATGTCAGGCTGTGACAAAATCACAAATACCTGGAAGGTGGAGGACATCTCAGAAGAAGGATAGAAAAAGGTATGTGCCTGTCACCATAACAATCTGCACTTTGAATTGGCCCTTTAAGAAAACTTCCTACATCTCCTCCTTGGTGGGAAAGGAGGTGAAGGTTGAGGAGGACTGGGTAGGAGGGAGAATGGAGACTGAGAGTCAGGCTCCAGGGCAGCAGAAACCAAGAGCAGATGGTAGCCAAAGGATTCCTGCCACAACCCTGCTTCCTTCACATACTCTTAATATGTGGCAAAACACATTGCTATTACCCTCCCCCCTTGTTTCATATTATAAAATACAAACAAATGACAGAGAAGATTGGTTGGCTCGCAGCCACCCACTGCTCAGAACTGTAAGGACTGCCGTTTTCTTCCTGCCATGAGACGGTGACTGTAGGGGCGCATCTTCATTTCCACAAAGGGGATGGAGAACTCATGTCCTTTCCAATGGTACCAGTTGATGCCCTGGGTGTGAGAAAGAAAAGCATGTTAGGTCATCCCCCACCATGGAACACCCCACTTCATAAAAAGGATAATTATGGGAACAGGGAATCCACAATGTGGGGTTAGCTATTTTCAGCTAACATGAAGCTTCGAGGCCGAGTTCCCAATAAAGTGAAAGGGGCAGAGTCTCTTTCCAGCTTTCTCCTTAAATGTGCTGCTGGCGTGGGTCTTTCCAGGGAGCATGTTGCAGGTCATTCCTTATTGCCAGCTTTGTTTTTGGCTTCCAGGAGTGGCATGCACCAGTAGATGGTTGTGAAATCCCAACAGGGTGGAAGCATTTGGAAGAGAATAACTGTGTTTGACTGCTCACTCCTAATGGGAGACTTAGGCGGTTTCTACCTAGGGTGACAAACCCTTTTGGTTTGCCCAGAACTGAGGGGTTTCCCTGATGTGGGCTGTTTCAGTGTTAACACTTAGAAAGTCTAGTTGGTCCTGCTGGTCTCCCTGTCACCCAGCCCAGTCTATAAATTTGTGGTCTCTGATAGGGAAAGATTGTCCAGTTCAGACTGGTATTTTCAATCTCTATCTTCCTGGGACTGTTTTTAGGGTAAAGTTGAGCCTGTGAAGCTGTCCTCAGAACTGATAAGCTTTCTTCATGGGGTCATCTGGATAAGGGAATGAAAGGGAACTTGACTGGGTATCAAGGGCTTCTCTGGGTGAGTTCTGGTTCCTGGGTCCTTTCCTTTCCTTCCTCTGGCTTCTACTCTGTCCTGATCTTATCCTATTGTCTGCATTACTTTTCTCAAGACTCCAAATATTTCTTTTTAAAGGGAAATGAAGGACTCGCGTGTGCCTTTAAAACATAAAGCTAAGGGAGCATGGGTTCCACAGCTTGGGCTTATTCACAGCAGAGGTGGAGCATCACTTACCTGACTGTGTCTGGACTCCCCGTACTTCCCATTGAGGTTGGTCCGGTGGCAGTTCTTATACCACCACGCTCCCTTGTATGACATGGCACAGTTGGTCACTGCAACATCATTGTCTCTATCCTCTGTAGAGAAAGGGCGTCCTTGATGATAGCTGAGGGAGTCCCCTGCAAAAAAGATACATTCATGAGACTCTCCCATTTGTCACTGCTTTATCAGGATTTTCTGGACATTTGACCCACTTCCAGCAAACCTGGCTTCCACTTATGGAGCCTTCTACTTACCTTTTCATTTCCACCCAGTTTTTCAGCATGGCTCTACCGAACTCTTAATTCACCTTACCCCCAGGGCCAACCACTTCCATGCTACAATCTCCAACCAACTTCCTAATCCCTTTGACCACTTTTGCTGAGAACTTTCGCCACTTAGCCCCATCTCATTGCCCACCCCGCCCCCAACCCTCAGCTGTTTCCTCCAGGCCTGCACTGGGACATGGGCCACTCATGGTTCCTCCTGTCTTCAGAGGAGATGGCGATGAACCAGGCAGACTTGGGCCATTCTGGGTCACCACCATGCAGCTTCAGCCCACCTTCTCCCTGCCTCACCAGGCCTGTTCAGATGACACCCAAGAACCCACATTCTGAACTTGAGGCCACATGGGAAGAGGGACATCAGCAAATTAGAGTTCCCATTCATAAGAAATAGGATGATGAAAAAACCATAACCATGTCAAAGGAGAAGTGCTTGGGACATCTGGGCTGTATCTTGGGGAAGAGCGGACTTGAAGAGGGACACATAGCCTGTGATCACCGTCACCAAATATTTGATGGGCTATTGAGAAAAAAATTAAATAAATTCTGTGGGGAAGTATGAGGATTAGTAGGTGGTGACAACATTTTTGCAGCCAACAGACACATGAAAAAATGCTCATCACTGGGCATCAGAGAAATGCAAATCAAAACCACAATGAGATACCATCTCACACCAGTTAGAATGGCGATCATTAAAAAGTCAGTAAACAACAGGTGCTGGAGAGGATGTGGAGAAATAGGAATACTTTTACACTGTTGGTGGAACTGTAAACTAGTGCAACCATTGTGGAAGACAGTGTGGTGATTCCTCAAGGATCTAGAAATAGAAATACCATTTGACCCAGCCATCCCATTACTGGGTATATACCCAAAGGATTGTAAATCATGATGCTATAAAGACACATGGACACGTGTATTTATTGCGGCACTATTCACAATAGCAAAAACTTGGAACCAACCCAAATGTCCAGCAGTGATAGACTGAATTAAGAAAATGTGGCACATATACACCATGGAATACTATGCAGCCATAAAAAAGGATGAGTTCATGTCCTTTGTAGGGACACGGATGAAGCTGGAAACCATTATTCTGAGCAAACTATTGCAAGGAGAGAAAAACAAACACCACATGTTCTCACTCACAGGTGGGAACTGAACAATGAGAACACTTGGACACAGGGTGGGGGACATCACACAATGGGGCCTGTCATGGGGTGGGGGGAGCGGGGAGGGATAGCATTAGGAGATACAACTAATGTAAATGACGAGTTAATGGGTGCAGCACACCAACATGGCACATGTATACATATGTAACAAACCTGCACGTTGTGTACATGTACCCTAGAACTTAAAGTATAATAATAAAAAAAGAGGCATATTTAGGCTAAATATACAAGGAGAAATTCCCTAAATATTAGAGGTGTTCACAAGTGGAATAGACTGCTTAAAGAGGTGGTGAGATTTCTATTCTGAGGGGCAAACAGAGGCTGCGTATTCTCTTTTGGGGATATTGTGCAGGGGGCTCAGGTAAATTGTGTATTTAAGATGAGGGATCAGACTGTAATTAAATTTTAATAATTGATAAGACTTTTAGCAGGATCAGGATTTGTGGCTAGGGATGTTGTGGAGGGGCTCATGCTATGTATTGAATGAAAGAAGTCTTGGGTGCTTTTGAGCTTGCTTTAAGCGAGGAGAGACCTATTCTGATTCTGTGGCTTCTGAGTCTAGGCTCACAGTGGCCACTCAATGCCTCCAATGCTTCCCGCCACAACTTAACTCTCAAGAGGTTGATCTTTATTTTATAGGGAAAGCTGATACCCTCACTGGGGAGGCCCTAACTCAACATGTCGTGATCTTTATCCCGTCTTCTTTGTCTTCCCCTTCCAGTCTCCAGGGACTCAGATTTTATGCCCATCTAGAGTTAACCCCACCATCTACAACTCCCTCTTTCCCATCTCTTCCAGATCCTGGAAAAGTTAAAACATATTGCTTACTTTTTCCTTTTTCTTTTATTTATTTTTATTTTCATTTATTTATTTTTTTGTGTTTGAGATAGAGTCTTGCTCTGTCACCCAGGTTGGAGTGCAGTGGCACAATCTTGGCTTACTGCAATCTCTGCCTCCCAGGTTCAAGAGATTCTCCTGCCTCAGCCTCTTGAGTAGCTGGGATTACAGGTGTACGCCACTACACCTAGCTAATTTTTGTATTTTTAGTAGAGACGGGGTTTCACCATGTTGGCCAGGATGGTCTCGATCTCTTGACCTCATGATCTGCCCACTTCGGCCTCCCAAAGTGCTAGGATTACAGGCGTGAGCCCGGCCCTTTTTCTTCTATCTTTTTTTTTTTAATTTTCACCTCCTCTCACCCTAAGTCACATTCGTATCTTTTGTCTTAAAAATTATTAGATTAATCTTACTTCTTAATGATTATTTCTTTCACCATCAGTTCCTTGATTATGCGGTCTCCACTCACATCCTATCTTCTCACTCCCTGCCTCTCCCTCTGTCATCTAGAATTTGTCCTCATTATTCCCCTGGAGCAGTTCTCTCCAGCTTCCACTCTGAGGTTACCTTCCACTGTGGCAGACATGCTCCCAATGTTGGTCTTTACATCCTCCCAAAGCCTGGCTCCCCTTCCCATTTCTGCCTCATATAGCCACCTTATATGTTTAACACATTAAGTCCTGGTTTCTGTCTCTCAAACCACTGTTCAGATTTATAATACCTTTTTCTTAATTCGCAACGTTAGTCAAGACTCCTACTGTCTCCCATTAGGACCAATGCAGCAGCCGCTAGCCGCTCTATGTTCTTCGCTTGGACTTACTTTATCCTGTTCGTGGCTGTCACAGGGATCTTCCTAAACCCCGCTTCTATTTTTCTTCTTGGGACCTACAATGGCCCTCCATTGCTACCATGTGAAGACTGAATTCCTCTGCTCCTTGATTTTCCAGCTTCTGTATCTGGTTCTACCTGCCTCACCAATCTTCTCTATTCCTCCTGAATTTACACTTTGCCCTGCTCTGCCAGTCCCTTCACAGCCTCCCCTCCTCCACAGCATCTGCTCCTTCTGTAACTTCCAGGGTTTGTTTTCCTTACTATGGGAATCACAGTTGAATGCAGCTGCCTTTATGATGCCACCCTCCACCACCCAGACTCCCCTTCCACGAACACCCCTTAAACTAGAAATGAGAGGCCAGGCATGGTGGCTCATGCCTATAATCCCAGCACTTTGGGAGGCCGAGGTGGGTGGATCACCTCAGGACAGGAGTTCGAGACCAGCCTGGCCAGCATGGCAAAACCCCATCTCTACTAAAAACACAAAAATTAGCTGGGCGTGGTGGTGTGTGCCTGTAATCCCAGCTACTCGGGAGGCTGAAGCAGGAGAATTGCTTGAACCTGGGAGGCGGAGGTTGCAGTGAGCCAAGATCAAGCCACCGCACACCAGCCTGGGTGAAAGAGTGAGACTCTGTCTCAAAAACACAAAAACAAAAACAAAAAAAGCTAGAACTGAGTACCACTGATTGTGTGATGAGTTATTTCCTGTTTCTTTTTTAAAACTAGACATTTAGTTTTTGTAAAGGCCATGTTTTATGCTTCTATTGAGTCCCCACAACTTGCACAATAAACTTTTAGGAGCTGCTCAACAACCTCTGATTGATAACTTAGTTTGGAATTTTCAGTTCTGATCCAAGCAGAGTCCTAGAAACTTGAATGTTTGCAGCCTTGGGAAATGAGGAACAGGAGAAAAGGCTGAACTTGGATCAGAGGCCCTGGAGATGGGTTGATTCAGAAGGCCAGCAAAAATGAGAAACTACTAAAGATAAAGTACAGGAGAATTGGGCGTTATTAAATGCCGGAAGAGAGGGGATGGGCTCTTCCTCCCCAGAAACCTGATCTAGAAAGAACAACCATTGTGTGATGTTGCCTAGAGAGGATGGCAGCCTAACAAAGCCCAACTTTTCAACTTTTGAAGAAGATGAACTGAATATTCGAGGTGAGAGATAAGACCCTAATTAGCTGATGATGAACAGCCACACTGTTGGCAGGATCTCCCCCTGAGACATGAGAGTAGCATGCAGTCCACCTGTTCTGGCCTCCATAGGCCCCGAAACAAGACAGAGCTGGAACAGAGGGAGCAAGGGCCAGGCCCAAGAAAGGCAAATGAAAGCACAGGGGTATGAAGAGGAGGGAGGGAGGGGGTGCTGTAGGGAAGTTGGAAGGCTGGCTTCTTTTCCTATAGGAGAAATCAGAATGGCTTTTCTACAGGCACAATTCTAATCTTAGAAGTGAATAGCATCAGGTGATTTTTTAAATGATTTAGTCTGGCATCTTGTTTAATATGCTCCGTTTCAATGGCTGTTTTATGCCCAAAGTGTGTCAAATTGGGCCTTTTGTTGGGGGCACTTCAGGCTGATGTCATTGCTGTTGGAAATGATCTCAGATGTGAGCATGAGAAAGGAAAGCATGTCTTCTCTTTGGAGTATCTGGCTAAAAAGAGAAATACTTGAACAGATTCAGTAACTGGAAGGACAACACCCTAATTCTCTTCTTACTTTCAAGAGTCATAAAAATGTTGCTAAAATTACACACCAGCATTTAACCCTAAAATTCGTGTTAATGAAAGGGCCAATAATTCCAAGTATCAAACATTAGAATATTTGGAAAATCAGGTTTTATGAAATGTGTTATAATAGAACACAGGAAACAGATTGGCAAAGCCCAAGAAGCAGACTGGATGTTATATTCTGAAAAAACTACTAATGCAACCAAGCTTGATGAGATGGTTGTTCTGCTTGGTAGAAATAATGTAAAAATTGACACAGAAAACCTGACCATCTATGTGATTCTTGCAGAGGAATGAAAAGGAACATGGCCAATGAGGAACAGGTAAGTGGCATCATTTGCTCCTTGACCAGGTGTTAGCATGACTGCTGATGGCCAGGGTGGGGTGTTGGGGGCATCTCAGAGAGGGGTGACATCTGTATGATTTGCACTAATTCAAAGATAGTTTTCCTGGATGTCATTGCATGGGAGATTTCTACCCAGACAGTGGATGATTCTGCTCTCACTGCGTAAGAGCCCATAGTGACTAATCTAAACAAGCAAAACAATCCTTCTTCGTCTTCACACTGCATCTTTTTTAAACTTTAAAAGCACATTCACTCTACTGGTCTCATTTTTTTCTGACTACTCAGGGCAGGCATCCTTATTACAATTTTCCAGATGGTGAAACTGAAGTCCTGCAAAGTTGCTTTTAGGTGAGTGGTCAGGGAGAGCTGGGACCACTGCCAGTGGTTCCGAGTGGCATGGCCCTTCTCCCTGGCCAGCAGTGAATGCAGGAACTCTGTGGGTGCTGCTGCTTCCTGAGGCAGCTTAGGCCTAGAATCTGGGGGCTCTTGTCCCATGCCCACTGCCCGTGGGGTCTGCTCAGGAGCCATAGGTACCCGCAGTGCCGTTGTAGCTTCCTATGCGGAGTTTGTAAAGGTTTCTGTTGTCCTCAACAGAGAACCTGTCGTAGGAGGCGAAGGCGGCCTCCTGGCCATCACGCATATCCACGCGCAGCTCATAGCGGCCCTGGGATGTGATCCTGTGTATGTTGTCCAGCCCTGTGGAGAAGAGCAGAAAATGCACTGAGACTGGCCCCCAGCAGCTTTGGAAAATGGGAGGGAAATGCGTCTGTGGCCTCAAAACATGTTACAGGGAAGAGGAGGGGACTCCAGATTGCTTTTGCTCTTGGTGCTTCACAGGTTGCTATCAAGTGGACCCTGCCAGACTCTGAATTTCTTCCTGCAAAGAGGACAGTCCAGGTCTGCTGATGGCTTTCCAAAACAGGAAACTTAGGGGTTCTAATATCTCCTTTTGACCCAGTAACTGACAAGCCCTGAGCCTCAGGATTCCTGGCCCCATCCCCTCTCACCTCCTCTGCCAAACCATGGTACTAGAAGAAAATTACAAGAGGTATTACATGGGTGTGAGTCCTTGGGCATGAGTGATCAAAAGCGTGAGGTGAAAACATTGATTAGAGGAGTTCAGAGCATCTAGAACATCTTAACATCTCCTGGTAGCATGCAGGAAGGGCTCTGTCGATCTTTCCTCACACTGCTTCTCCTGCCCCCAGCCTAGGCTTCCTGGGGCTCCACAGCCAGGTCATAGAATATTATTCTCTGCCTCCCTTTCTCTCTAATCTGCCTGCTACATTTGCACTGCTACCTTTCCACTGGCCTTTTCAGCCAGTTACCCTCATTCATCTGCTTCCTCCTTTGCCTCTAAGCTTCCCAGGCCTTGGTCTAATAGATTCTTGTAAGGTGCAAACCTTTGTAAGTCCCCGAGTTAGGCAGAGTCCAGATCCCCCTTCGTGATATGGTGATATATATTTTCTTTCTTTTCTTTCCTTTTTTTTTCTTTTTTCTTTTGAGACAGAATCTCACTCTGTTGCCAGGCTGGAGTGCAGTGACACAATCTTGGCTCACTGCAAGCTCCACCTCCCAGGTTCACACCATTCTCCTGCCTCAACCTCCCAAGTAGCTGGAACTACAGGTGCCCACCACCACGCCCGGCTCATTTTTTGTATTTTTAGTAAAGACGAGGTTTCACTGTGTTGGCCAGGATGGTCTTGATCTCCTGACCTCATGATCTGCCCACCTCGGCCTCTCAAAGTGCTGGGATTACAGGCGTGAGCCACTGCACCTGGCCAATATTTTCTTATTTACATTTTCTTGCTTGCTTGTCATGATTAGCCATGCCCTGGGACTCTCCAATTTTGATCTACCTGCCCAAACTTTGAACCATTCATCTTGTGTTGCTGGTAATTTCTCTGAGTCCTAAGTTTTATCTGCTTACTGAACTAGAGTCCCCTTGCTTTGCTGTGATATCTGATATCTATTTGAGTATGCCATGATTTAGAATCAAACAATTGCAGAGACTGAAGGGAATTTAGTGGTTACTCAGGCCAGTCTCTTTGTTTTGCAGAAGAAGAAGCTGAAGTCCAAGAGCGGTGAAATGATTGGCTGAAGGCCATCCAGGTCTTTTGGCTTTCCTGTCCCATTTGAGACTTAGAGCTTTCCTTGATTATAAGTCAAGGGCTGTTTGACTGCTGTTTGCTGTTGGCTGAGTTGCTAAGCCACAACTTACCCTAGACGTGTGCTTGTGCAGATGTAGTAGATGCTGATGGTGCCTTGCTGTGATGCCTTTAATTGGCAGATAGATCCATCCCCCAAGCTGCTACAAGTGTTGGCTGTTAGCAACTTGCAGCTGCCTTCTTCTTGGAAAATTGCCCTTGACCAAATGGGAGTCACTTCATCCTGGAAGCTAAGCTGTTTTCCCCATGCCATGGAGCAGACCTCCATCAATGACTGATGTGGAGGGGTACAAAAGCTTGGCCTCCTTGCCTAAGTGGTGACCAGCTCTGAGGAGCAATTCATGCTCCCAAGCTTCCCTAGGGATCACACTGAAGGGAGTCTCCAGCCAAAACCACATTTTTGTAGTTTTCTTTGCCCTATTTTGGTTCCCCCATTTCCTTCTCCCTGGTGAACTCCCCCAGTAAGTCACTTGAACAAGAATTCCTGTTTCGATCTCTGTTTCTAGAGAACCCCATATAGGACATAAACTATGGGTCATAGTGTTATCCCCAACCTGAGTATTGCTCCCAAACTACACCGCACCAGGCCTAGCCTCTTCAAGAGCCCTCCCTGTCTCCCTCTTACCTACATCATCAAGTGAAGACTTCTGTTTCCGATTTTTAAGTTCCCTACTTGCCTCTATTCAACCCACTCACCTCATTGTTTTCTTTCCCTCACTTGCACCTTTCCTCTCAGTGGATGGGTTTCCTCCCTGGCCTCGGTTTGCAGTTATCAGAAGAATTCCTGCCTTCCCTCCTTTTCATCATTTTCCTCCCTTCATTCTTCTGACTGACTCATTCCTCAGTGCCTTCTCTAGGAAGCTGGTCTCTTCCTTCTTTGAATATCTGTGGCCTTCTTTTCAGTGGTTCATAGGTTAGGACAGTGTTTCCCAGTGTGGATGGCATCTCTGATGACATGAGATATATAAGGCACTAAGTAGCCTTCAATAATAAGAAGAAAGGTATTTCCAGATTTAATCTCAGTCTTTTGTAATAGATCAAGGAGATACCTTAACCCTGATTCTAACCTTCACTCACAATCTCAGTTTGGTTCTAGTATTTTAGTGGTTTGTTTAGCATGAAAAGCATGAAACACTTCCTAATCTCCATTTTTAACACCATCACCACTGCCAGCAACAACAGGCTTGGAGTACCTGTATTTAACTGTCACTTAATACTATTAATATAGTTTTCTTTTAATTGCATTTATTTTTGAGGCTTTTTTATTTATGACACATGATAACTAGCTTTCTATTTTTGGCAATGCTATAACATTTCTTTTAAAAATATATTTAATTAAAGAGTAATCTATAGAAATTTTAAGTGCATGATAGTTTATGTATTTCAGAAAATATGACACAAATTGTGAAAGTGGTATACAGCTGCTCAGCTTTGGGAAACGTGAGTCCTGTCCTGTCTGCTTATGGATGTATTGATTCATGGGTATTACACTTGTCTCCTAAGTTGCTTGCTGATGCTTTGAAGGTAAGAATATTTTTCAATTTGTTTGACTTTTATGTCAATGTTTTTGTGTGGCATTTACCTTATGTTTTTATTGTCTGTATCAGCAAACACAAATCTGTGGATTTAAAATGCATTCAATTAATTCTGATCATTGATTGATTTATTGATTATCTACATTTTAGGTACCTACTGTCTCCCAGGCACTGTCATAGGTATATAGGTAATAGAGTTAGAAGATAAATAAGAGGTGGTCCCAGCCCTCAATGAAGCGCACATAGCAGAGACAGATGGGAAGTAAAATGGACACTATGATCTGTGCCAGACAAGAAGGAGTGGCCACTTCTCCCACAGGCAATGGGGAAGAAAACTGGTGAGGACTGGCTCTGTGGAGAAGGTGCTTAGCTGTGTCTCTGAATATACACAGATGGCACTCACCACACAAGGCATATGGGGAAAGGAGGACTGTTGGCTAGGAGTGCTCCTGGCAGAGGAAGCATCGGTAGTTGTGCATATGTGGAGTTTGGTGTTGGAGAGGAGTGAGGGGAAGAGCAGGTGAGGTACTTAGGGTGTAGAGGAGGCTTCAGAGGCAGGTGAGAGAGGGCCTGTACTTTGGCTAAGGCATTGGGCCTTCTCCTGGTGGTAATGTGGAGTCATTGAAAAGTTTTACAAAGGGGATTAGCCGTCACTCATATTTGGGGTGTGAGGAAGATCATTCTAGTGGTCATGAACCCACCTTTGCAAAGATCATGACAGTGAGAGAAGTCTAGCTTGGCTGACTCCATCTTGGTTCTGGCCTCACTGGCTGGCTGCCCTCCTCACTCATTTCTGGGCATAGGCCAAGCTAACCATGGGAGGAATTCAGTTTATAGTTTAATTTTAAAGCAAGGATGATAATAGTCCCTCCCTAAAACTGCTCCCCTCTTTTTTCAGGGACTGAAACTACCTTTGTAAGACTAATGAAAGGCCAAGAGATTAGGATTACGGGAGGGACCTGAGTTCTGCTAAACTGTAGGCATAGTTTCTATAATCCCTTACTGCTCAGGGTCATGTGGCCAGAGATTTGTGACTTTTCCAGTTGCTCCTATAGATAACAGCACTATTGCAGATTGGTCTTTTGAGATGTTTTTCAGACTTTTGCATTCAGGCAACCAAGTGACCCCACCTGGACCAATGACACACGACTCAACTGGGCCTGCCTCCCCCAACTAAATGCAGACTCAGTGCACGAGGAACATTTTCCACAATCCTATGATTTCATCCCCAACCAGTTGGCAGTACCCATTCCCTAACCCCCTGCCCACCAAATTATCCATAAAAACCCTAGCTTCTGAGTTTTTGGAGAGATTGATTTGTGTAATAACTCCAGTCCTTCCACTTGGTGGCCTTGTGTTAATTAAACTCTTTCTTTACTGCAATAATGCTGTCTCAGAGAATTGGTTTATCTGTGCAAAAGGCAAGAAGAACCTTTTGGGTGATTATAGCCATGTGGACAATGGGGTGGTCCTAGAAGCAGAGAGGCCGTTAAGAAGCTTGTTATCTAGGCATCCAGGAGAAGATGGTGAGAGGAGATAGTGGCAGGGAAGACAGAGAGGAGACCACAAATATGGAACTTGACAATTAATCTTTTCCTCTACCTCCCTTTTTCCATCACTATGAAAATCTAACTAAGAGGGGGACACAGGTCACAATAAATGGACCACCTTCCAGAACTTGGCACCACCACCATCTGCCTGGCTTAGATGAGTGTTTACCATCTCACGCCAGTTTGGTTCTTGATCTATATTTCCTGCCAGTGTCAGACCTCTAGGAAATTGTCAGTCACCTCTAATGCCACTTTCATTTTTTTCCCTTTTCCTTCCCAGGTCAGGTAATAACATTCCCCAAGGAACTAAGCAGAGTGGCTGGCCTCATTTCTCCCCTGACCTGCAGGCTGGCTGGCTGGTTGCCTTGCTTCTGGGAAATGGCCAGGCAGCCTGTTGCTCCCTGTGCCCCTTCCCCACCAGGCAGCTCATTCCCTTTGTAGTAGCCTCATGTCAAAACCCATCAGAACAAGAGACTATTAATGAGGATGGGAAGAGACAGAGAAAAGAGGAAAACACCACAGTAAGATAAAAACAGATCAATAGTGAAGCTAAACAGAGCAAGAGGTTCTGAAAGCAATTCAGGAGCTGTCAGTTTCTCAACAAACACAGGGTTTCTGATAATCTCAGATGGACACAAAAAGGAGAGAGATGGACAAAAAGCCAGAGAAGCACATCAAGGGAAAGCAATAAGGAGGCTTTACCCAGCCAGAACTCATCCTCCAGGTTCCCGAAGCCAACACGGTAATCAGCCCATTTCCGGAAAAAATCAGTTTGGCCATTCTGCCGCCTCTGAAATACCTATGAAGGAAAGAAAAAAAAAAAAAGAAAAACCCAAGGAGATGCTAGGGAAAATAAACTGTGATAAGTAAAATTGATATAACTGGGTTTTAAATTGATATAACTGGATTTTATATCTGCAATGACAAAGATGTCCAAAGAAGGAACATTTCAGAGCAGAGCTCAGTATTTACACAGCAATTTTTGTAGGAGATGCTCAGAACACTTCTCTTGAAGTGTAGAGGCCCCTGATGAATAGGCTCCAGTGTGATGTTGACACTAATTTGCACCCCTGCAATGTAGAAAGGACTCAGGATACATATCAAGCCCTAAATATCAGGGGAAATAGGCTTGGCTCTCAAATGAATCTTTTGCACTACAGAGTGTAGTAGAAAGCATTTCTCACCAAAAGAATAGGACCTACTTCAAATCAGCTAGTAACTGTCATCGTCCTATTGCAGGCAAAGCAATACTGCATATCATTCACTTTCTGAGCTGTTTAAGTGCTTATTTTATTTAACCTCCAATACATCAACCTTGGCTTCAATTTCCAATTATGCTTTAAGAAGGAGGTGCAAATACGTCAGAAACATAAAAGAAAATGTCTCCCAAGAGTAGCTGTTATGAGCACATCACCATTCAAAACCTACCCGTTTTGCACCAGGAAACATCCAGCACTGTTAGCAGAGTGAGAGAGGGAATCCGAAGAAGGGTGGAGGGGCTGGTTTTCCATCCTAAAGCGATTTGGCTAATATTGGGCTGCTTTAGGGCCAGGCAGTGGGAACTCCCGGCTGCCCCGACAGGCTTGCATTAAGGAGGCTGCCCTTATTTTCCCTCACTCTGTATTGCCCTATCAGGCATGGGAGGAGGGTGGTGACAGGAAACAGTGTCTCTCTTTTCCTGACCACTGGTGCTCCCTGAAGGTTGTGATGGCTCTGGGGAAGAACCAGGGAGACCCCGGGAAGAATGGGGAAGGGGAGTCAGCTATCCATGTTTGGGCCCTCATCTGCTTTCCCATACGCAATCCTCAATTGGAGGCTTCTGATCATCTCTCTGTGGCAGTAATCACCTCCTCATACAGAAATACTTTTCTTCCACTGCCTTTTTGTTTGTTTTTGTTTTGTTTTTTGAGTCTTACTCACTCTGTCACCCAGGCTACAATACAGTGGCATGGTCTCGTCTCACTACAACCTCCACCCCCCGGGTTCAAGTGATTCCCCTGCCTCAGCCTCCCGAGTAGCTGGGACTACAGGCATGCGCCACTGTGCCCGGCTAAATTTTTGTATTTTTAGTAGAGATACAGGGTTTTGCCATGTTGGCCAGGCTGGTCTTGAACTCCTGGCCTCAAGTCATCCACCCTCCTTGGCTTCCCAAAGTGCTGGGATTACAGGAATGAGCCACTCTGCCTGGTACCTCCACTACTTTATTATAGATGCATTTCTCAGCAGGCAAGAACCTTGGGCCCAACAGAGCTGCTACTGCCTTTACCCAGCACCCTCCTGCTTAACTGTCCTTTCTTCCTCCTCCTTCTGTAAGGACAGACATAGTTATTCCTTTCCCTGCCTGGCCAGACATATGATTGAACTGCTGAACGAGGGCCTTGAGGGCAATGAGGAGCCCCAAGATGGACATGTGGGGCGTGATAAAAGGATGGCCAGAAGGATGGTGAAGTTGGCTTGGCAGGTGCTGAGCTAGGTAGACTAGAACACTGAGGATACTTCCGTGCAAGGAGAGCAGCCGCCTGTACTTACAATCCAGCCGCCCCCGTCGGTGGTCATATCACAGTACACTTGTAACTTCTGGCTCAGCTCCCCATTGAGGAAGATGGGGTAAACCCCACTCAAAGTGTCTCCATTCATCAAATGCTGGGCACAGTCTTGAGGATGAGGGAACACCCGGCCCCCTGCAAGGAAAATAGACAATGTCCAGAAAAGATTCTTTCTCTCACTTTGCATAAGAGCTCCTTGGATCATAGAAGGTCTTAGCAGGCCTCCTGGTACATCATCAATAGTTGCAAGAAATCCTCAGTGGAGCTCAAGGTGTGAATGTGGGGACTTGGCACCCTCTTGAATTTCCCTTCCTCAACTGTTGTTAGACTTATCAGACAACATACAATTTCATGGGATCTGAGGACTAAAGGGCTGAGTTTATGGTCTAGCTCCACCAGTTACCTATTTATTTGACTTTAAGTAAATCAATTGGGCATCAGTTTTCTTATCAGTAAAATGAGGATAATAAAAATCTCCCCCTTGAAGGGCAAAGATGTGTTAATGCAGCTAGTGATTGGTTACTCAGGCAATGATTACAGATGCATGGGCCAAAATAAATCACTGCAGGCTCCACCTTTCAAAAGGATGAGAGGCATCTGAGCAAAGCTTTCTATCATCTTTACAGTAGCCATTAAGGAATGCCCAAACAAGCTCGGCATTAGCAAGAAGATTAATTATCTATTCCTTGTACAAAACCATCTCCTGACTGGACTAAACAATCAAGTGGCCATGCTTTACAGTTCAGTTTAAGTTTAAGGAGAGGGCAGGGGAAGTAAATTGCAGCTCATCTCTCAGAGAGAACAGCCCAATTTGTAGAACAATATCTAATTAGCTGAAAGAGGAGTTTAAATCCTGTGTCTTGAAGAGCTTAGCTTCAGGGCAAATTTTAATGCTGACCAGGAAAGCGAAGCAGCAGAAAGCCCACCGGAGGAGCTTTTCTGGACTGCAGGAGCTGCTAGAGCAAGCTAAAGGCAGAGCTTGCTGTGTGGGAAAGGGTGGTTTGGGTGCTCTGTAAATAGAATGATCTTCTGGGTTAACGAAGAGCATGCTGCGATTGATCTAGTTCTGCATCCTTGATGTTGCAGTCAAGAAGAGAGGCTGGGGAGGGACAGCACGTGTCAGTTACTGCAGTGTCCCCTAGTGGCAGAACCGGTGCACTACAGGTGTGACATAGGGCCCGCTGATGAGTCAGAGTAAGTGACAGCACAACGCCACCCACGGATGGCAACATAGCAACCTCACTGAAAGCCCTGATCATCTCAGACCCCATTATAGATCACCAGTGAAGCCTCCTATGTCAGGAAGAGGTGGTTGGAGTCGGTTTATGGAAGGCCCCCCGGAGATGTGTTAACTGACCCCCCGCACCAGGACTGCCCTTCAACTTGCTGCCACCGCCCTCCCCACCCCGCCCCTGTCGAGGGCGCACCCACCTAACATAGTTTAGAACAAAGGCATTGCCTACTGCAGGCATGGTTATACCAGGGAATGACAATATATTTCTATAGAACCTGTCCTTTACCAGGTGTTTTTATTTCCATTTAATTCTTGCAAGAAACTTGAGAGGAACGCAGATTGGTATAGATATACTTATTTTACAGAGAAGGAAACTGCACTTAGAGAGATTACATGACTCAGATTGCTGGAACTCACATTTTCAGATGGGTTAAGTGCTCTTTGCACCCTACTAAAGCAGGAAATATAGTGTATGATAGAATTTACTGAAGATAGAAATCTATGCATACAGCAAAGGATTAATTAATACCTGCATTTATCTTACAAGCAAAAAGACCCCAAAGATTAAAGATCTCAAAAATTTCTATGTTCAGATCAAATATCCATACCCTCTCAAACTGATTTCTTTAATAGCTGCAGAAAAGCTAACTGTCATCTGCAGCGTGTCCTAGAACTCTTCACAGTTCCTGATCCCACCTACCCCTAGAGGCTACAGTTACATTTCAGGAGACAGGTGTGAGCTGTCTCTGTCCCCTCTCCCTGCTGCTTTATGAGCACTGCCATTTTCTCCTGGCTTCCTGGTCATTCTTGACCTGGCCTCTGGAGCATCCAGCCTGTGTGCCTTTCTTTCTCCTCTTTCCTCTCACTGAGTTTCTCATTTTAGAAGATCAGCAATTAATGCCCTTGGTCTTTAGCTTACTCCTAAGGTATGCACTAATAGCCCTTTTTCCTGAAGAAAGGTTTCTTCATTCAATAAACTCAGCTTCTTGAAGGAGCCAGAACCCCAAATTTCTTTCCAATATCAATGTATCCCCAACAAAACATCTCCCCACAAATCTCAAAATGACAGTCTCATACAAATACACATATAAATCCAAACCTCAGAATGGGGAAAGAAATGATCTCATGCCGGCTGCTTCATATTGATGATGTAGGTTGATTTAATATTTATATTAGAGATACTTTTTAAAGGCTCAAACATATTAGTTGCTTTAAAGCTAGACTTACAGACAAATACAGTAAACTGAGGTGACTTGGAGAAGGGGAGTTTTGAATACCTGAATGGCTATCATAAAAGAGTGATTCATTTTTTAAAGTTAGAAAATAAGAATAAAATTATCTGAAGAAAAAAGTGTTTTCTAAGGGATGCCAAAACACTGGATGGGATAAAATCCCAGATTACACCCTGGGAGAGGAAGGACCACGCTTTCTTCCTTCCAGGCCGGCAGTGATCTTGTTGGTTGGGAGGGAGGATCCCCAGATGTGCATGAGGCAATGAAGCATGGTTGCTGGGTGCGCTTGCCTTCCCTTTGACAAATTGCAAGGCCATTTGGTTGTTTATAGATTCTGTTTGCTGTGATTTAGTCTGTGGCATTAATGTAAAGACAAGAAGCATTTTGCTCACACAGACTATCAAGAGCAGCAACCTGGGATTTTTGCATCTTCGGAACTTGGAGAAGACACCACATTTACAGCAAAACCATTCCTTTTCAACCCACTCTGGCCTGCAACTCTAATCCTTGTCCAAAATATTATTCCTTTTTTGCAGACAAGAGAAGGCAGAGGCTCACTAATAGTTCTCAGACTGGAACCTTATTAAAATTGAGATTCCTGGTTTCCATAGCAGATTCACTGAATCAGAATATCAGGGGGTGGCACAGGGAATCAGTGTTTTACTGAAGCTTCTCAGACAAGTCTGAAGACCAGCTGGATTTGAACCCACTCTTTGTCTGGCACACTTTCCTCTTCTCTAGAGGCCAAGAGGTGGAAATGGCAAACTGATCAATGCCTCGGAGGAACCCCATGGTCTGTGTTCTCTGCCCAGATCTCTGTGGCTGGGTGGATAAATACTATAGATTGAATCTCTGTCTCTCCCCCACTCACCCCCTTTCCTCCTCTTTCCCTTTCCCAGTAGGTATGTCTTGAGTGGGCTGGTTCCAAGAATTAGATTGAGTGTGGCAGGAAGGAGAGGGGATAAGAGATTGTATTTAGCCTTGAGTCTAAGCTTTGTGTTCTAGTTTTTATTGTTTTGTTCTGCTTTGGGGGTTATTGGACTTTGGCTTAGCTGATAATAAAGAACACACTGGTTCCTGCTCTGCTGTATTCAGTGTGAATGTACTGGGGCTTCATACATTTTAGGAGACTGTCAGGGCAAATTTCAGGCATTCCTAGCTCTCTGGATGTCATACCATTTAATATTATCAGAAACTCGCCTCTAACCCCAACATACATCAGCTCAGTAATTTTTCCCAAAGCAAAAATCTTAAGACCAAGAGCAAAACTGGAAGGTTTTTCTTCCTTGTGGTGCAATAATTGGAGCCTAGACTGACGAAGAAACTTTTAATTTTTATTTTTTTTTTTTAGCACAGGCTGTGGTGATTACTAAGTTAAGAGAAAAGCCACAAGGAGTGCTTGGTACACTGAAACATGGTTAAGTATTTCTAGATGTAATTGTGAGATCAACAGGACCATGGTGTTCACCGGAAGAATGGCTCAGAAATTGGCTTGTTCTGGGCAGTGGAGGCTGAATGCTGAGTGGAGTGGAGCAAGCTACATGACAGGCAGTGCAGTCGGGGGACCACCGCTGCTGGGACAGCCTTCCTGTGTCCTGGCCCTGCCCCTTACTTGTTTTGGATTCTTGGGTGTTCCTTTAAAATGATCAGCTTTAATGGCCCTGGCAAGTGTCTGTCCACTTTTCTGACCTCAGCATCAGGTCTGAAGCCACGATGTCAGCATTTGTCTCTGAAAACAGCCTCAGCAAGTTTCTCTGTAAGCGCAGAACACAGTGTTGCTCCATAGAAGTGCAGGCAGCCACCTCTGGCTATCAGCACTTAGATTTGTTTTTCCCAGAAGCTTGTTTGTGGTTGACTCTCCCTTGTTAGAATCAATGGCCCACATCTGCAGAGTAGCTGACTAGACTGTCAGGGGCAGCCTGAGTCTGCCGACAGGGCAAGGTTACCTGCTCAGCCCACATGGGGTGAGCCACTTGGCCTCCTCACAGCGTCTCCCAGTATATTTATCTGTTTGCACTCTTACCAATTCAACAAATATATAACAGAGTGTCTGTTGGGGTTCTAAATCCTGGGCTAAAAGATGGGAATGTGAAGAAGGAAAAGACACAGTCACAACCTTTCAGGCTGCTCATGCTGTGGTGGGAGAAACAAATATAACCTCGAGCTCTAAATGCTCTGGGAAAGAGATACACATTGCGGGCTGCCAAAACTTGGATGTGGGTGTGCAATGATGCCTGGCTGGCAAGGATGGGGTGAGCAGTGGGGGCCTGGGATAGGACAGGGGGTGACAACTGCTAATCAGAAAGTGACCTTAGGAACTGACCTAGATGCTGGCCACAAATTGGTGGAGAAGGGTGTTCCAGGCCTGTGCAAAAGTGTGGCCCCTTTGGGAAGTTGAAGGTTTAGCAGGAGACAGAGCAAGAATCGGGTGGGATGGAAGAGAGAGAGCCCTGGGGAGGTAAGCAGGGATGGGATCATGTCATTCATGGAGGCAATTGGAGGAAGAGTCTTTTGGTGGACTTTAAGCTCAACTTGTTAGAAAGAACATTCTCACTGCAGTGTGGAGAATGAATTAGATGGGGGTGAGCCTGGAGGCAGGACCCCATTCAGGATATAGTAGTGGGAACCCAGGAGGAGAGTGACAATAGCCTTTAAAGAAGTAATAGAGT